TATTTACCTTTCCACAACCCCTTCAATTTTTTTCTACCACCCTTATAACTATGACAACCAGCTTAATATCTAAGTGAAAACACAAAATACCAGGATGGTCTCTATGCTGGTCCCATCCACAAATAATTCTTCTCGCTTCCACACCCATTACCAAATGTATATTGACCATCTATACAGCAAGTCGCAGTGAATCTGATGACAATTCCAATAAGGACTATGTAGTCGTTGGTATTATCTCTATGAGATGAATTCATCTTATTTATTTTATTCTCAAAAAACAAGTGAGATAGGCTGGAAAAGTTTGACTATCTCCATTAAACTTATCGGGGAACCACACACAGGAACGTGTATAACTTGCCCTAAGACACATCTAAGTAGTAATATCAAAGATAGTATCACATATTTCAATCTTCTTCCTTCAGCAGGAATGATATCAGCATAAACAATAACAATGCTGTAAGTCAAATGGGTGACAAAAGCCAACATGCAATGAGTGTTGTAACAGGTGAGAGCAGATGGGGATAAGGCTGTACTGGGGACAAAGGAAGAAGATACAAGGAGGACTTCCTGGAGGAGAAGAGAAGGTAGCACTGGAGATGGGTTTTATAGGACACAGAGGAATTTGAGAGTTTGACAAGTCGAGTTGAGAGAAGACACTGCTGGCCTACAAAGCAGCAGGACTGACAACTTCGAAGACACAAGCATCAGCACAGAACAATGGGTAGTCCAGTTTGAGTGGAACATACTCTCTTACATTTAGCTGAGTAGTAATAGGTCATAGATTTTACTATGTAAGTCAGAATCTGGTCTTTATTCAGCCAACAGTAAAGACAAATTGAGAGGAAAACTTTTGAAGGATTTTTATAATCAATGTTGTGCTTTAATAATACTATTGTGGCAATACTGAATGAACATACAAGTAAAAGGATAGATGATGGGATCAGGAACGCTAGTGAAAAGACTATCACAATAGCCCAAGTGTAATATAACAAGTTTCTAAATCAAAAGTCCTAACCAGAGGATATTCTGCCCTCCCAGGTGACATTTGCAATGTCTGGAGACATTTTGAGTTGTCACACAGTGTGAGGCTCATGCTATCCATTAGGTAGCAACCAGGGATGCAGGAAACATCCTACAGTGCACAGGAGAACACCACACAACAAAGCATCATCCAGCCCACATTGTCAACACTGCCCTGGGTGAGAAAATCTGGTCTAAATTAAGGTAGTGACCATGAAAATAAAAGCAAAGGTAACAGAATTATTGTCAAAGAATAAGGAATAAGATTTGATGATTTATCAGCTCTGGAGGCAAGATATAGGGAGCAGGCAGTTTTTACCGTGCATGATTGACAAAATTACAATAGCTAAACTAAAACCATTTAAAGAAGTTGATATTAGGAGATAGAAAGAGTATAGTAAATGGAGGTTTTTATCTTTTCAGTCTCCCTTTCTTTGGAAAGAACCACCTCCTCAAACTGCAAATGTGGTTTGGATGGAGAAGATCACACCCTCCACTCCACCCAAAAGGCATTTTCCTGAACTAGATCTGGAGAATCAGAACCCACTGTGGATTTAGCCTTAATGAATGGATGTCCAGGTGAGCACTTGATCCCAGCAGATCAATCAGAGTTCCTCCTAGAATTCTACACTAGTCACACATGCAGCCTGTCTAAAAATTAAATCAAATGAAGGCAAGCGAAACACACATATATGCACACACACACATAGAGAGAGAGATTTCAAGTGCTTTTAAGCTCCTGGATCCAACGACACCTGAAATATAAGATTTAGATTTCCCATTATATTAAGCCAGTTCATTTCCTACTTGCTTAAGCTAGTTTGAGTTGGATTTCTGTTACTTTCACAAGAAAAATCTCTGCTAATAAGGATGACATTAGCCCTGATTTGTGTACCTGAGTGGATTGAGCACAGGCCTGCAAACCAAAGGATCACAATTTGATTCCCAGTCAGGGCACATGCCTGGATTGCAGGCCAGGTCCCAGCAGGGGACACACAAGAGGCAACCATACATTGACGTTTCTCTCCCTCTCTCCTTCCCTTCTCCTCTAAAGATAAATAAATAAAATCTTTTTAAAAAGATTAATTTTCAACATGTTAACAGATGGAAAATTCATGTAATAGATATAAGTGGGGGAGCAGCTAGAATTTAGGGGACTAGGTTTTTAGGAGCTATATTTTGTCATTTATACTTTAGAGGTAACAGATGCCAGAATAGTTGCAATCTTTTTGAAACAGACCAAAGATAGAAAGGAGACTTGGTGTTTTTTAGTCATTTATAATAAAATAAAATGAATTAGAAATTATGATTTAAGAAGTCTAAATTATTGCAATCATTCCAAAATAATAGCTTTAGTAAAGATATTGGAAACACATCATGACTGATTTTGAACTCTTTGTAGTTTCACCACATGTAAAACAGATTTTAATCTGTTCAATTCTGGCCTATGATGTGTTATCATTTACTCTTACGTCTCTTTCCTCTGCTTCCCCTGCATGGTTCTGAAATGCAGTGGGTTGATTTCTGCAGAACACCTTGCCCTTGCCCTTGCCCTGGCTTCTCTGCCAATTGGCTTCTGGGTAATTTGGCCACTAAGAGTCACTGGCAGGAGTTTGGAGTAGGGAGGTGGGAAGAAGACAGACTGTGCTTCTCCTTCATTTCTCACTTTGGCCATTGTTTCCAGGGGTGGTTGTCTCCTCTGCAGTCCCGCTTTCCCCAGGTCACCCCTACCCTTGGTGGCCTCAGTTTGGGCCAAAAAAACCCCCCAGCACCTAAACTTTGGTAAAACGGCCTCCTCTTTTTGTCCCTCCAGCCCTGGAGGTACTGGCAACTTCTTGCTGTTGCTAATACGTGACTTCACTATTTGCTGTCTGCCTTTCTCTCTCTTGACACCTTTGTAAACAGTTCCCCACGTTAAATCATTTCTATGAAACCACCTACTTGAGGTTCTCTGGCTGTACTATGCCTGACTCATTTGCTTAGTATCTTAGCCAGTTCAGGTTGTCTAACAAAAATACCATAGACTGGGTGGCTTAAACAACAAACACTTATTTCTTATACTTCTGGAAGCTGGAAGTCTGAGATCAGAGTGCCAGCAAGGTCAGGTCGCTGGTGAGAGAGCTCTTCTTGGTTGATGGACAGTCGCCTTCCTGTAATATTCTCACTTGGTGGAGCGCAACATCTCTCCTGTATTTTCTATAAGAGCACTAATCCCATTTATGAGGGCTCCACCCTCATGACCTATTTACCTCCCTCCCATAGGGCTTACCTCCCTATACATTGGGGATTTGGGCTTCAGCATGTGCATTGGAGGTGGGGCGAGGCACCACAGTCTCCAGTTCGAATCACCAGAACTGGGGTGATGGACAAAGGAACAAAACAAGCTCATTTACCACTTTTGACCTTTCACCTAAACAAGACATTTAAACAATTGTGTTGCTGTTGGTGGATATAAAAGTATCAATATAAAATATCATTCATAAGGGGTATGTAACATAAAGTCATATTAAAACCAAGTTTAAAAATATAAAATAGTACAGATACATGTTTTGGAGTTCAGAGGAGGAAGAGATTGATGTGAGCTGAACTCTAAAGGAAGGAACACAGAAGGGTGGGGAGCAGAATTCCAGACAGCGTTATGTGGGGGCACAGGGCAGAGCATCGGCAAAGACGCAGGAGTAAGCAGGCGCATTCACGAAGGGCTGACGGAAGTAGAGCCATGTAGAAGTAAATCAGTTCAGATAAGAAAAGGGCACATCGCAGGGGCCTTCAGTAGTAGGCAGAGAACTGTGAAGTCTGTGGGATCGATCCCAGAAAAACTGAATGGAGAGACTGTGTCCTTTAAGATAAAGGCTATACCCGCTTTTTCATCTGGCCAGTGAAACGCAGGACAAAGGGTCTGGAGCTGGCTTTCATTCCCACTTCCTGACCCACTTTATAATCCTAACATCTCAAAGTTTAGTTCTTGGTTGCCGAATTGCAGAAGAGTTAATAATAAATAACATTCATCTAAAGATTTTCGGTTGTTTTTCAGGTGGCTAAGGACTTTTTTTTAGATGTTTACTAGACACCTAATCTTGCACTAAGCCTAAAACAATGAGGTCAGTTTTATTTTTCCCAGTGATGAATGTAATCCTTCATAATAAACATGACTCGACATTGCATGAAAGTCACCAGAAAGAAGGGTGTTTTTCCCAGCACTAGTTCTGACCTTAAAAAAAAACAGACTGGAAGAAATGAAGCAATTTGTAACACAGTCTAGTAATTGCATTATAAAAGTGAAAGTACACAGCACCCCAAGAAAGAATGTGTCATTCAAAATGTGATGTTTTTTGAGAATGAAAATGGAAACATCAATAACATTTTAGAATTTATAAGTGGGTTAGCTTGACAGGTGGCTGATGAAATAAAATTCTACATCCCATTTTATATTAAGGTGAGTTTGTTTTGTCATATGTATTATGATTCACATTAGAAAAGCTAGTAATCTTTCTGCTGTTACCTTCACCTTTCATTGCGGGAAGAACGGCAGAAGCACTCTCTTAGCTCTTACCCATTGCCAGGAATGAATTGCAGTCAGAACAAACAAAAGACTTAATTATAGCCTTTAAGTGCAAGCAAGAATAGTACACGTGGCTTGGAAATCGTATCAAAGACAAATTTTTTAAAAGGTGGAGAGGAGAGAATAAAAGAAGTGAACTGAAATTTTAGCTTTGGGAAGAAGAAATTAAACTTCTACCCTTCTGCAAATTCTTATCGGTAAAAATTGGTTTGTAATTTTGGGTCTTTGGAAGGATTTTTAACTTAGTTTGAGTCTGTTTTGTTAACTTCCTCCCAAATGGTAATTCAGTGCTGATAATAAAAAGAATTACAGTAGATGTGGTCAATATAACTTTATAAAATAAAGACCTATACGACCTAAGCATTTTATTTTATAAAAAATTTGTAACATCATTGATAGCTTAAGATGGGGGCAAAAGACATTTAATAGAAAACACATAAAAAACAACCTCTTAACAGAAGGCAAGTCAAAACTTGCCAGAGTCGTTAATCATGTCATTTGGTAAAATGAGCAGGCTGGGAACAAGGAAACATGAACTAAAAGAGTGTTTTCAGTTCTGGACAAGATGTAACAAAGCAAGTCAGCTTAACTGTTGAACTTTTAAAGGTGCTGATGCTGAACAGTCCTCCTGAGTTCAACACGATTCTCAGCCAACCCTTAATTATTAAGTCATTATAACAACTCCTGATGTGTCATCCCTGCTATAAGTGCTTTAGGCTTTTTTCAGTACCTGTTTTGCATTTACTGTTAGCATTAAGAGACAACGCAAATGTAAAATGAGACTATCCCTTCTGTTCACTGCGTGTATACATTTGCTACAAAATACTTAACTTCACACAAGACAATGGGAATAATCTCTTAGTGCTTTACAGAAGAGACCAGCTCTTTGAGCTCCTAAGGTCAATACTCATAAAAACAAACAAAAAATAACTAAGAAACTCATCCAGTCAATCCTCAAACAATTTCATTAAAACCTTGAAAAGAGAAGAAAGCCACGTTTTTCAAATGGAAATTTTCTGCTAGGGTAGAGGGTTTACCTCAGTTGCCACTACACCTTCCTCATTTCCTAAAAAACCTGCTCCCCATCATTACTTATGTGGCTAAAGTTGCTTCCAGCCTGATGCCTGTGAATAGACTGGCACACGGGGGAGGAGACAGGGAAAGTGGAGCCACTGGAAGCAGAAGCAAGCCACTTGCCTGCCCGCGTCTCCTCATCTCATCCTACTGCCTTCAGATCTGGGGTCAGCTTATAATAAGAAAGCCCTTGACAATCACCTTTTCACATCCCCGTGCTTTCTCTACAGTAACAGTGGCCTTTAAATAAACAGGTTTAAATTGAATGGATTTAGAGTATTTACAAAAATATTTTGATCTCTGCTGATTGAAGGGAAGGTCTATGGGATCTAACCATAGAGCCTCAGTTGTCAAAGCCAAAACACTATTTGCCCAGAGTAACTTGGTATTAACATCATGGTATTAACAACATATGAATCAGGCCCGGGTGGTGTGGCTCAGTGGATTGGAGTGTTGTCCTATAACCAAAAGGTTTCGGGTTTGATTCCCAGTCAGGACACATTCCTAGGCCATGGGTTTGATCCACAGTCCAAACACGTATGGGAGGCAACCAATCAACTCTGATTGGTGTTTCTCTCTTGCATTGATGTTTCTTTCTCTCCCTTTTCTCCCTCTCTCTCTCTCTCTGAAAGCAATGAAAAAAAATTTCCTTAGGTGAAAATTTAAAAAAACAATTTAAATATATGTCCCGAAATATAGCTGTGCTATGAACACACACTGAACTTTTCCTTTTCCTTTCTTGTCTGTCTCTGGAGGGACCAAAAAAATGCCTTTGCTCAGACCACTGGGTCAGTGTGGAGCCCTAGACCTGTGGGGCTGGTGGCAGGACTTCCGTGAGAGTGACCGGGACGCTTTAGCCACAGGGGCCTGTAGGGCCTGCGGAGCTCCATCCGTCTCAGACCGGTTACTGGCTCAGGCTGCTGTCCCCGAGTGGGCGCATAACTGGTCTTCTGCAGAGGGGAGCTGTCTCACACCACCCAGCGGCTGGCCGGCCTCCTCAAGCCCTGGAGCTCAAGTGGCCTTTTTGGAGAGCTGATGGTTGAATTCTTTGTTGTGAAAGCACCAGGGATCATTAAGAGTCTTGAACATATCTGTATAAAGAAAGATTGATCAACACTAGCTTGTTTTATCATCACTGGAGAAGAGTTTAGACAGTATACTCTAGGAAAGAATCTAGGAAAGAAGTGAAACTGCTGGTAATAGAAGTATTACATTAAAATAAAACAGGAAGACCCTCAATGGCTATTCAAGATCTAATTTTTCATATGGGTGACAAAAAATAGTATGAAGTCATGTCCGTAGCTGAGGTTGTGGACACACAGGGACATCAGATAACTGCAAGTAAATAAAATTTCGATCCTTAAAAAAAGCCTTTAAAACTTTCATACAAAAAAACACTATGCTGAGACATCTCAAAGACATTTTTCTATTCTTACTGCAGTGGTCTGTAAGGTAGAGTATATTTTACAGAAAGATAAATCAACTCACAGGACACCAAGAGAATAAGAGAATTGTTAAAGATTGTAATGCAAAACCATTCTTGATTTTCAGATTCCAAACACACCATTTTAACCACATTACTGAACAGTTGTTCTACAGGTAATTGTTACATGAGAGCGTGTTTTCTTTCATTGCCAAAGCAAAAGAAATTAAAGATTCTAGTAGAAGTGCAGAAGTAGGTTTAGGTCTTAGAGAGAAATAAAAGCACTTACCATTTTCTACAGTTGACTTAATTCCCCGTGGTCTTGTTCTGTCAATGCTGCAGGCCACTGAAATGTATTCCTTTGCACCTCCTTGGAAGCCAGTCAAATCAAGTCGGCAGATGGTTTCCTTCACAACACCCTTGATGGACACTTTTTCTTATCTCTAACTCTGTGATGAATGAGGTATAATTTTTAACACAAAAGTCATATGGCCAACTGTGAGGATAGAAAAAAGAAACAGGTGTTGGGTCATATAAAGACATGTAAGATGAAGTTAGACTTGAAATACCTTTTCTATTTTTTTTTAGTTGAATGCCAAGAAAGGGTTTCCTCCCTATGGAGAGAAGATGTTGAAGATAAAAATGCAAAGTTGGGGATTTCAGACTAAAACCTTCTCTCCATCTAAAAAAAATGCATGTGTTTTAGGGCTTTTGGAGAAGATTAAGGGTGAGGTGGGCCTTTGAGAAAGGCGTGCTGAAGACATGAATTGTTAGATAGAATAGTGCAAGTGTGGCAGTTTCTCTTACTCTCTGGAATGGAATGGAATGAGATATATAATTGTATCTGTGGACTTAAAAGACACTCAAAAGATTTGTGGCTTAAAATGAATGTAAAACGTGAGTCTGGTGATGTCTACTTTTCTGCAGCCGCTGCAGGTTTTGATTTGCAAATGTGTTCGATATGGAGAAATCACACTTGGCAATTTATCCACTGGCATAAGAGACGATCCCACACTCGTTTAGTCCTGTTTCCATCCTGCTAACAAATTGTGTTATGATTTAGTCAAATTACCCAGTATTGGGAGCAAGGGGGCCAGGGAGATTAGAGGTGAGAAAAGGTTACATTACAGAACCACATCTTCTAGGAAATAATCTTGCCAGAGGGTGATTTGAAATAAGCAACTGGTGAAGGAAGATACAGAATGTCTCATATTTTTTTCAGCTGAGTCCAGTAATACTTGATGGTTGGTATTATCAAACACACACAACTATATTGCATTTCCCTTGGTTTTGTTCTCAACTTATTTAATATTCCTTCATAACTCTTCACTTAAAACACAGCATGGAGATGTAGAAAGAAAATCATATGGATACATACATAATTTATATGCACCTGAAGACATAAAATTATGCTAGACAAAAACAAGTAGCGAGAAAGGTGAACAAGAAGTTAAATTTAAATGTTGTTTAAAAAATACCCCAGTGGAAATCTAACTGAAAGAATCTGAAAACTAATAAAAAATGACATTGCTTTCTCGACGAGGATGTATGTAACCTTGCTCTTCAGCCCACATCATGCTAATTGAACTAATTCAGCAGGGATTGTCTTGAACTTGAACAACTTCAGCATGTGGAAGATTGTTAATGTGAAGGTACTGAACTGTCAGTTCTACACAAAGAGATTTCCAACTCTATTTACATAGTATTCTTTTCTTACTTTCTAGGATAATATTCTGATCTCTGCCAATGCTTCTTAGAAACACCTCAATCCATTTACAAACTGCCACGGTGTGATGCCTCCAGACTTCACAATAACAGAGGTTTCAGTATTGAATAAAAGACGGTGATGGTACTTTCTAAAGACAGCATATGTGTTTGCAATAGAAAACCTACTTTGAGGGACAAAAAAAAGAAATAGCCTTAAGATTTTACAATATTTTACAAAGCATTTAACCATTTTGTGTGTATTTCTCTATAGTGGTAATATTTTCCTATATGTACTGAAGCATGTACAGATATAAAAAAATACATAGTAATCTCAAAAACCATTAAGTGCAGACATAGGGAAGGCAGCCAAATTACCTTCTCATTTAAAAGTGTTACACTTCCCTATATTATCTATTTCCTTTATTTTATAGATGACAGATTAATGATGATAATAATAATAGTTAACATTTATTTGATACTCACTATGTGTCAGGCACTATGCTAAGTACTTTACAAGATTTATCCCTTTAAGTCCTTCTAATAGTCCTATGGGTTATCCCCATTTGATAGATGAGGGAAACTAGATAAGAAATTTGTTCAATGTGGTAGAGCTGATAAGTGAGGAGCTGGAGTCTGGCAGTCTGAATCCTAAATATATACCCTTAAATGCTGTGTTACTTTCTGGCTTCATCAAAGAAGAAATTACTAGCCCTCTTGTTATTAAATAAAATTAGGTACATGTTGAGTCTCTCTTAGATTCTTACCAATGGATCGAATGAACTGAAAGGACTTCAGTTTTAAGATGGTTTCACTTGTGAAGCATTTCTCTCAATATATGAGTATCAAAGATTGTAACATTACAATGATCTCCCATCATATGATATAATTTTTTATTAAAGAACCATTTACTGATCACCTCCTATGTACCTAGATTTTTCTAAATGATAAGAAAGATGGAACAGAAGATAAACTATACAGATATTTTACCTAGGTAGACATCTTTCTGCAAATTGTATTGATACTGATATCCTCACCTCCATTAAACAAGTGATTAATGCTATCAGTGACAAAATTATCTCGAATTCAGATCCACTAGATTTTCCCTCTGCTTCAATCATTCTTCCTTCCTTAAAATGAAAGATACCTATAACTAAGGAAAAGGGAGATCTTGGGAAGTAATTAAAAAGATCACGTCCCTATCTAGAAGTTCCTTCACTGTGATGGTTTAGGTTTTTCTCTCAGTCACCTTCAGTTTGGGGAAGGAAGAATCAAGGGGATAACAGCTGTAGTTCCAGAGTCATCTCAGATGCCTCACGGGGCTGGGAGTTCAGTGGGGCACCAACTGCCCTGACCTAAAGGAAGAAGAGGAAGAGAGAAAGAAAGGGGGTGAAGGCCGAGAGAACGACGACGGCCAACAGCCCCAGAAACACTGCCTGGCTCTGCAGTTCCTCCACACTGGTCAGTGGAAAATGCTTTATTTTAATCCTCACATGCTCTCTCAAGACAAAAATATTCTTCTTAGGGAATCCTCAATTCATGTGAATAGTTGCTATTCCAAAGCAGAAAATGGGAGTATATTTATCAAAGAGGTGGTGGGAAAATGAAGGTGTATTCTTTCCCCTTAAATAAAGTAGTAGAACAGAGGAGGAAATCTGAAAATAAATACAGTGTTTTCTCTTACACACATGCACACACACAACCCCCAATGATCTCACAATAAAAGTTACTTAAAAGATTCTGCAAAACAGGACAATCCATAGATTCTGAGATTTCTTGACTGATGTCCATGCACTTCTTTGGGAAGGACTGAGGACTGACTGTAATAAATCTTCTTTGTCCTATTCCAGTGCTGCTGATGGGGTAAGGTTTAAGGCTGTATTTTGATTTTTCAGAATGGACGTATTACTGACCAGGTCCTGGAAGCTCCAGAATAAGAGGGAAGTCTTCTAAGAAGGCACTTGTAAATTCTTTGGAGAACCATTGAAGCAGCTCTCTTGGAAATGCAGTTAGTATAAAATACAAATCCTTCCTTGAAAAGTTTGTGTAAGAGAAACAGTATTTCTAACCAAATCCTCTCATGCTTTTTACATAGTATAAGATCACATAAACTTGAAGCTGGAATTAAAGAAGAGATCATCCAAGCAGGAGTCTCCTCTAAAGTTCCCTGAGATGTAATCACTTGCTGAATACCATCTGGGGTGGGAAAGTCTACCTTCATAAGATAATCATTTCTTCCATATTGAAAAATGAAGTCTGTCTGCCTTCCTTCGTGATCCCTCTCTTAGTCCTAGATTGACCTCTTGAAGCATCAGAAATTTCCACTCTCCCTGCCACATGGGGCCCTTAAACATTTGAAGACAGTTTTGTACACATAAGCCCTTTATGTCTTCCTGTTTGCAGATGAAACAACAAGGGCTTTGGCTTCAGTTTTAGCGTCAAAATCTGGCTCTACTATTTACCTCTTCCACAGACCTGGATATAACATGAAATGTCCCTAAGCCTCAGTTTGTTTGGTTTTTACATTTTTTATTATCTTTAGAGGGGAAGAAAAGGAGAGAGGAAGAGAAATATCAATGTATGGTTGCCTCTCGTGGGTCCCCTGCTGGGAACTGGCCTGCAACCCAGGCATGAGCCCTGACTGGCAATCAAACCATGATCCTTTGGTTTGCAGGCCGGCGCTCAATCCACTGAGCTACAACCAGCCAGGGCAGCCTCAGTTTTCTTAAGGAAAAAGTAGAAGAAATAACATCCATCCCATATGGTTGTTCAATGGATTGAATTAGTTCCATGCATGAAGGTGCCAGACCTTGGAGGTCCTGAGTTACTTGTGACTCGCATGATCACGAATGCTGTGGCTTCCAGCCCCCTCCTTCCATCCCAGGCATTTTTCTTCTGATGCAGCAGACCAGAGTTTCACAAAAAGTGTGTTACAGGTGTGCCAAATTGTAATGTTATTATCTTCTGTGGGTGTCATGGCTTTCAGGGTGTGCGAAAGCACTGCATTGGTTCTTATGTTCTTTCCTGTGGACCGCAGCAGGTTTTAGAGTTGTTTTTCTGTTTTTAATCTCTCTTCTCTGTCATATAAATATTTTTTCATTATCAGCATTTAAATAGCAACTTTTGTTAGAAATAAAGGATTCTCTATGAGAAACATGACAGCATCTCAGTCCCTCAGCCCTACAATTGGCCCAGCAAGGCTTTTTTTTTTTACCCCCTTGTATCCTACAAGTATTATTTTTGGGATTACCATGCTATAAAAAAAAGTTAGAGAAACACTGCAATAGAATTTAGTAATGACTGCTTGGTGTGTGGTACTAGAATGAACTAAATATTATCCTCCAGAAGGTTAAGAAGGGTAGAATGAATTACATTCTTCATTTGTCCTAGACCTGACACTTCTGTTATTGCAATTTAAAATGGTATTGGGGTTTTGGGAGGGCCACACCAGACTGTTAACTAACACTGACCTTGAAGTTGATGAACACTAGCAAAAATATCAATTCTTTCATTCATTCAAAAAATATTTTCGGTCTACTTATTCTGGGCACTATTCTAAATACTCGCGACATAGCTTTAAACAGGCTCAACAAGATTTTTTCCCTCATAACATTAAAATAATAATAAACTTTCAATAAAGTCAGTGGTATCTACAAAAGAATTTCAATTTGAATAATAAGTAAACTAAGGAACTCCCAAGTTGCTGCCCTGGTTCATTTCTAGTCAGGAGGATAAATATCACAATCCAAACGGAGAAGGAATAAATTACTTTAAAAAAAACTCCCTAATATT